TGGTTTAGATGGGTCAATGATGATTGCTGGTGAGACCTTTGGGGTTCCTCTATTCAATATCTCTCCCTTCTTGGTGGGTTTTGTTTGATTTTGTATTCCATTTGTTTTTGTGAATCTGTCTATTTCTTTTAATTTCTTATCGCTTTTTTTTTTCCAATTTTTTTCTTTTCTATTTTGCAGTTTCCACCTCATTCTTTGGAAGAAGAAACGGAAGAAGCAAAGGGATTTTATCCAAATTAGAGAAGAAATTGAGAAGAAATTGAGAAAAAGGAGAATTAACCGAAGCAAGGGATTCTAGATTACCTCAATTCTGAAATAATTTTGGTTATTCGTTAATTTTGATTTGTCATGAATGATTTACATTTGTTGAAGCTGGAGCATGACTTTCATTTCTATATGTTTAAGACACAGATAGAAAAACACTTAAATCAATAAACTGATGGTCGTTTCATATATTATTCATATATTAGATAGAAACAGTGTTAAATCCTATTGCATGCTTCCATTTCTTTTAAATTGTTACTTTGAAATGAGTTTCGGTGTAAAGTGGGCTATTTCGTGCTTTTATTTCTTCTAGAACACAAAAATATCCCAACAACCCCACAGCGGGTTGCGAATGGTAGTCTGATACCATCATTCGATCCATGAAAATGAATTATTCAGGCATGTCAGTTGTCATTGTCAGCGTGCTTTTATTGATTTACTGCACTTGCATAATTCATTGCAGGAAGATGTTGCTAAAGTTCTACGCAATCAAGTTTATGTTTCAAGATTTCATTGCGGACAATAATATGTTCGCTGACTACTCCCGATTACAATATTGATTATAAAATAATTTTAATAAACAACACTGTAATAAATTGCGGTCCAAATCACCATTAATTTTTCCTCGAATCAACTTCCCAAAAACGTAGTTTGGATGCGGTAAAAAGTTGTTTGTATTAGTTTTTTTATATAATTAATAATTGACAATAAATATTTAATAATTAATAATAATAATTTTTTTTGTAATTTAAAATATATTTCGTTTGATTAGTAACCACAATTGATAGTTGTTTGTATAAAATGAAAATAAACACCTAAAATCATTACCCATAAAACATGTAAACGAATATGCCAACTGTATAAACACCTAAAAGGATCCAAAAAATGGTTTTGTTTTATTCCAATTTTATAACCACTAAGGCTCAAACAATTGATCATGATGTGGGTCGAACTTAGCCAAGGGGAGGGGATGCATCTCTCATTGTGGCAGCTGTCACTAGACTTGAAGGTCAAGTATCATTAAAGCTTCATTTAGTGTAATTTTAGTTTTAATTCTTAATTTTTATTTTTTGTAAATTTAGTAATTAGTATTATATTAAATTAAATTTAATGAATTCAAATTTATATAATAAATTTTGATATCTAAATATAATAATAGTTACTAAATATATAAAAAATAAAAAATCAAAATTAAACTAATCTTAACTAAATTAAGTGTCAAAAATTTAAATAATTTAATAATAATTTTTTTATAAAAATAAAAAATTTAAATTTAAAACACATATGAGCTAAGTGAGGTGAGTTAATTGCATGACTAAAGATATATATATATATATATAAAACTATTAACGTAGTAAAAGTCATACTTTATTTGAAAGAAAGGGGGTGGTTAACTGGTTACCAAAAAAAATGCAATTTGAGATAAAAATGAATTTCTCGGTGCAAACTAGTGCAGTTAATTTCGCGGAGTATCTTATCGTACCTAACGGCGGGATTGGGTCGTGGGGAATATTTGACAGCCTACCTTTCCGGTACGGTAAAACAGGAGTGCAAAACATTTGGGTAATTAATTTACTAATAATTTTTAAAGTGTTTAATATATATGCATATAAATTTTATATATTATATTTATATAAAATTTTAATTATTTATTTTTATTTTTAATAATTAAAATTTACTATAATTTTAAGGAAAAAATAATTAATTTTAATAAATATAATAAAAATAAAAATATTAAATATTAAAAATAAAAAATAAAATTTATAAGTAAGTATAATGAGTAATAATTATATATAAATAAAATTTTATTTATTTTTTAAATAAAAATTCCTAAACGGGCAACAAAGGTTTAAGGGTGCAGATTAACGCATTGAGGGATGGTGGGGGTTCCAAGTGGGTTCCCACCTCAAAGGGCGTGACTGAAGCCAAAGAATAAGTTAAGGGCACGTACCCTACACATGGGTGCCACCAACACTGCGCCGTCCCAGTACTCTGGTTTCTTCCTGTGTAAAAGCAGTGCCACAGCTCCGCCCATCGATTCCCCCAACAAAAATCTCATTTTTCTTTTGTTCTCTTCTTTTTCTGAATTTATTTTTAAAAAAAGAAGAATATTTCAGAGAGATTGACGGGGTTTTTTTATTTTTTATATTTTTTTAATGGTAAAAAGCTGGGAGTTCGTTACTAACCGCATATGTTGGTGAAATGATTGGAGCAGTCGTCTACGACGGAGTCAAAGCTGCTGATGTAGCCGGCAAGGCCCGCCGATTTTCCATGGCCTTCGTAATCCATGCCGTAAACGGCGTACCCCGCTCTGGCCAGCCGGAACGCCGTGCCTGAATAAATAAATTAATAATATCTCCGATTAATATAACAACTCAAGAGTAAATAATTAAATAATAGATTTGATTAAAAAGAAAGGAAGAAATATATTAAGCAATTAATTAATAATTAATACTGATACAGACTTTTCATGGTGATGCTGCACTCCATGGCGTATCCATGGCAGATGAAGATCAAGGCTTCTGGTTCTTGATTCAGTGGGATCCACTTGCATGTGAAGAGCTTCAATCCTCGGGAATTCGTGATGAACGCCTGTTCGTTTTTTTTTTTTTTTGTCGATCAAGTCAATCGAGTTAATTAGAATCACAACATATAGAGATTGAGAAAAACTCCCGAAAAAAAAAAAAAAAGAAGAAGAAAGGAATGTAGAAGAAGAGTTTACCTCATCGTATCTAACATCTCCAGTTACAGAAGCCATAGAAACTTTTTTCTTTTTGGTGGGGGGGAGGGAGAGGGGGAGGGGGTGGATTAGGAGGAATATGGTTTAGGGAAAGAGAAAGTAAGGAAGGTAGGTTTATATATGGATATCGATTAAGTGGCCATTTAGGACTATAGTTGCCAAAGCTGAAAGTCAGAAAAAGGAAAGTGAGGATGAGATAGGATTTGGGGGATTGACACGAGAGGGCTTTATGGTTGTGGTTTTTAACACTTTGAATAGAACTTGTTCCTAGAGCCTAGAGGGCAGGTCCGTTTGGCACTATAATGTGTGATTTTTTTTTAATTAACATAATAGAAGGAAGGTAATTATTTTGTTATTTTTTAATTTAATTTTATTTGTATAGTAAACAAATTAAATTAAATTATTTATTTTTTACAATAAAATTATCATTAAATTATTTAAATTATTAAAATAATATAAAAAGATTTTTTTCTTTATTATTAACCCAACAAAAGAAAGTTTTTTTCTTCTTCTTCTTCTTTTTAAATCTATTTTCATACTAAACATCCTAAAAATTAAACTCAAAATTTTTAATTTAATTAAAATATCAAATTTTTAGACATTTAAGACATTTTTGAAAAAAACCGCTTAAACTCTGTTGTTACAAGTAATTTATGAATAATAATAACAATAAAATCCATAGAAACCTAGAAAAGATGAAAAGAAAAACAAATTATCCATCACCATAGACTCGGTTTAACTCGGACCGTTGTTTCCTGTCTGCTAGTACTACCCCACTTCCAAATTCCAATTGGAAAGAAAGAGTTGGTCCAATACCTCATCCTCACACACCACTTTTGTTAAGGTCAAGTCAAGTTGTATGTATTTGAAGGTTTACAAATTTCTCAAAAACCTTTCAAGGGCGGGATCTCATATCTCACGGATACATGTCTATTGTCCACTACTTAGGGATACATTTTTAAGGGTCAACAAGATATGGATGGAGGAGCTGGAATAATTGGACTTACGTTGTGCTTTATTGTGGTTCCGTTATTTCATATTGGCACTTGGGGTTGGATATATATATATATATATATGTATATATATATTTGACCTCCCAACACCGCGTAAGACATCGGACGGTAGTCTAGATCTTGACCGTACGTCACGGGTTATTACCTTAATAAAAAGTGAACCTTTCTACCATGATCTTTTTCTTTCCGGAAATAAGTTGCTTCAAAACTCACGTGTGAAAATGTCCTCTCTAACAATCCTGTGAGATAATTAAGTTCTCCAAACAAATTATCGTGTTCATTGCTAGAAATTAATTGAACTGAAAATTCAAGACAACCACAGCTCACCATGCGTGTTTTATATTCAGACAAGAACTAGAATATGTTTCATAATACATACATCCCAATTTTATCACATGGTTTTCATTTCAGAGCAAAGTAATATAATCTCAATGATATAATCTGAAGTCTTAATTTGTCTGAAAGTATTTGTTTGAACTAAGAAAAACGACAAGGGCGAGCAATCAACATCAAAAAGATGGATTCAACAGCTAGCTATCACAGTATCTCTCCCAAAGGTGAAGACATAAGTGGTGGGAGCAATTTCTTGCTGGCAGTAGCAAGTAGCAACACAGACAACATTATTGGGGGACGTGATCCCCACTTGGTTTTCAAATGGAACAACTTAATTGATGTGCTTTTCATTTTAACCTCTCTCCACTGGCAATTTCGTATCACATGATAGACTTTACTGATTGAAGCCTATAGTATTGGCCTATTGGAGCAGGGCAGGCAAATATCCCTCAATCATGGGGCTGTGTTGATTTGTTTTGTAGCTGATGGACTCTGTCCTAAAACCAAGTCCATTGCGAGAAGACTTTGTTTGGAAAATCACTCACTCAGAATTTTATACGGTTTATAATTTTACTTAAACCATATAAACTATATAAGTTCTTTTGGTTTAATAATTAAGAGATAATTAATACTTGATATTTAATGCTTAATAATTATTGTTATTTATAAATTTAAAAATTACTTTTAAAAATACTGATATAAATATATTTTGATAGAACATATTTATTAAAAATTTATTATTTTTTGATATAAAATTAAAGACAAAAAGACTTAAGCTATGTAGATTTTATTGATTAAATCGATAAAAAAACTGATAGATATCAATAGTTAGTTGTATTGAATTTATTGATATACTAATTATTTTTTTATTTAATTAGAGAAATTAGTTGTCAAATATCCCAAATAATTAGTTAAACCAAACAAAACCATAATAGTTCTGGTAAGATATTTATTCAATAAATGTATAAATAATTATGCATTTATTTATTTTACGAACATCACTTTTACAAAGTATGGTGTTTTTACTTCCAGCTTATTTTTTTCTGTTTGTTTTCGTTTCGAAATCTTTTCCAATGATTGATTATTTACTGGAATCTTTTCCAATGATTGTTCAAAAATTAACAGTGGGATCCTTCTTTCCAATGATGTTTATCCATATTGTTCCTGTATACGTGAGTTAAATTATATATATTGATCAAAACAGAGTAGTGGACACGTGCAGTTAGAGTGTCCTGGTAAGGGAAGATTAAACACGTGGATGGACTGGTATTAGGTGTAAATAAAAGGGTAAGTCTAGTTGACAATTTGCAACACAGAGCCATTAAAGGTGGAGGAAGAGTGGGATGAGGTGGAGGTGGAGTAGATGATAAGGAAGGAGGAGTGGTTGGAGAGGGAGACGAAGAGGTGGGTGCCCTTGATTGGGTCAGGAGCAGGTGAGAGAGAACATGATAGATGGGAATGGGTTTTGGGGTCAAGAACATGGTAGTGGGTCTATAAAAAATTTTCTTGAGATTTATATTTGTTCTACCAGTGGGAGATGCTGGATTTTGGAATTGGAGATATTTTTACTTCTTGCTTGTTAGTGGATGGGATAAAGTGAATGTTGTTATTTGGTTTGGACTCGTTATTGAAATTGCAAGGGAACTGTCTTCCAAATATTTATAAAAATGTTTCAATTAACAATTTGAATATCAAATTTATTTTTGTTATATTAATTTAAATAATAAATTTAAAAATATATATTTAAAATTACATATATTTTAAATATAATATATCCTTCAAATACAAATTTAAGTTTCAAAGATAAGATAAAAGTATTTGTTTGAACTAAGAAAAACGACAAGGGCGAGCAACCAACATTAAAAAGATGGATTCAACAGCTAGCTATCACTGTATCTTTCCCAAAGGTAAAGCCATATATGGTGGGAACAATTTCTTGCTGGCAGACTAGCAACACAGACAACATTATTGGGGGACGTGATCCCCGCTTGGTAATTTCATGTCACATGGTTGAGTTTACTGATTGGGGCTATGGCATTGGCCTATTGGAGCAGGGCAGGCACATCCCTCAATCATGGGGCTGTGTTGATTTGTTTTGTAGCTGAGCTGATGGACTCTGTCCTAAAGCCAAGTCCATTGCAAGAGGACTTTGTTTGGAAAATCACTCAGAATTTTATAAGGATATAATTTTACTTAAACCATATAAACTATATAAGTCCTATTTGGTTTAAAGTTTAATAATTAAGAAATAATTGATACTTAATATCTAATACTTAATAATTATTGTTATTTATAAATTGAAAAATTATTTTTTTAAGATACTAATACAAATATATTTTGATATAATATATGTATTAAAAAATTATTATTTTAATATAAAATTAAAAACAAAAAATTTTTTTACTATGCAGATTATATTGACTGAATTGATAGATATCAATAACAAATTGTATTGAATTAAATGATATATTAATTTATTTTTTATTTAATTAAAAAAATTAGCTATCCAATGTTCCCAAATAATTAATTAAATCAACAAAACCATAACAACTTTAATAAAACATTTATTCAATAAACATATCAATAATTGACTTGGCACTTTGGATTCAAGTAGTTTACCCCAAACTTTAATTAAGACGTTTGAATTAATTAGTTGAGATTTAATTTCCATTAATACCTTAAAAAATCTCCTTCCTCCAACCTCCCAAAATTATAAACGGTTAAAAAAAAACATATAAATAATTATGCATCTATTTACGAAACATCACGTTTATAACGTATGGTACTTTTTCTCCTAGCTTCTTTTGTTCGGTTTGTCTTCGGAATCTTTTTTCGATGATTTGATTATTTACTGGCGGTGCCATCCAACACAAATGAGTCATCTTATGGCCAAAGAGATCTTTTTGTCCAAATTGTAATATACCGACATTTTTTTTTACTTACAGTCATAATTTTATAAGTATACCTATTTATATTTACAATTTATTTAGTTATGTGTATATAATTTATATATACCTATATATTTTAAAGAAAAATAATTATTGGTATACCATCCGGTTCAACACACCTAATAACACTTATCGATTCAATTATTAAGAAATTAATATTTTCAAATTTAAATTTAAAACGAGAAAATTTTTAAAAGTAAATTTTAATAACTAAATTGATGGGTGTTGTTAAATGTGTTCAATCGAAATGTGTATCAGTTATTTTTCTTTAAAGAATTATAGGAATAATATGACTTTACATATGAAAATAACTTAATATAGGTTTAAAAAGAAAACTTATACTTACAATCAAGATTAGTTATAGGTATAAAAACCACATATAGTTATAAATTTTCAAAAACCATAAATATACATTGCTGTTTGTTAACCCTTTGGGAAACACAAAAAAGAATCTTATGTTGGCCTAAAAAAAACCAACTACAAATTTATGAGAGAAGTAAAATTGGAAAAAAAAAAAAAACTACTATAGTTGAAAGCACATTTAAAACTATAAATAAAACCAATGATTTAAAAAAAAAAAAAAAACACCAACAATAATTTGAAAACAAAAAGGGAACCATTCTCTTCAAATCCTTATGTGAAGCAATAGCAAATAAGAACACCAACAATTAGATTGAAAGGAAAAATTGAAATTCAATTGCTACTCTATTCTGTCTCTCCACCTTGGTGATTTCTCAAATTCCAATTGCTTCATCACAGCGGCAACTTACGAATTCCAAACTCATAGAGTAGTTTAAGGTAAGTTCTAAATTGATAACTAACCTCCCAACTATGGTTCTTGTGGATTATTGTAATTTTTACATTATTGGATATTGGAAGGGTTTTCCATAGTTGTTCCAGCTTGAGGACACCAAAAAACAAGTAGGAACCCACTCACATATGGCAATTTGAGAATTTGAATCTCCTTGTAAAATTTTAGGTAAAAATAAAAAGTGAGAGAAGGGTAGGAACTGGGAAGTAGAATGATTTGCTTATTATGTATGATCATTGTGGTTAATTAGGAATAATCATGTGTTGTACATATATATTTATGGACAGTACACTCTGCCCCATCCTTGTTCCCTTGGTCCACCAATCTGCACTAAAATATAAATTTTTTTCTATAATTAATTAATGTTTAATTATAATAAAATTTTCTAAATATAAAATTAAATATAAATTGTTCAAATATAAACAAAAATAAATTCAATATAAATAATTAAATCAACGAATTTATTCCTTGTACTATAGTAATAATATCTAGATTTTACTTTTGCAAATTGCAAAAATATGATTAGCTGTAATCAATAAGGTCAATAGACAAGTGGTTAAATCAAATAGAAATTGTTTAAACCTAAATAAAGATCAATCCAACATGAATAATTAAGTTGAGTTTGAAATGTATTGATATATTGATTGAATTAAATTTAAAATAAAATTAGTTTATATATTTTTTAAAATTTTTCATGGGAATGAGAATTTTCGCACAACCAAAAAAATTTTCCATGTAAATTCATGGGAGAAAAACTACCCCTATCCCCACCTCGTAGGGAGGAATATATATTCCTCCTACGAGGTGAAATATTCCTCCCTACCACGCTCTTGTGTAGGGATCCCCACGGGACTTGTAGAGATTGGGGAAAATTGTCATCTTTAATCCTACATGGAGATTCATATCCCACGTAAGTACTCTAGTATTTTTAATGCTATAATTTTTATTTTTTTATTTTTTTGTCGTGAATGCTATAATTTGTTTTAAGAAAAAGTTTGAAATAACTTGTGAGTATTAAATTTAATCTATTTATATATATTGTACTTTACATGTGGAAAAAATCAAAATTCACATTCTCTTAACAGAGTGTATGAGAACACGGATATATATGTTGATATTTACCACAGTCTGCACTCACTGCCAATGTTGTCAATACCGTACCAACATACGTACTAGTTTCGCTACTAAAATGATACACACCAGATACCAAAATTTTTCGTATACCATTTCAGATTTATCGTTATAAATATATATTTTTATAAATTAAATATCAAATTTTAAAATAATTATAAGAAAGATTAATGTAATTGGAGACAAGATTTGGGAAAACCTTTTGAGCTAGTAACAATCATTTTTTTCTTCAACTATTAACCTAAATCTCATTATAATCCAAGCAGAGGTCATTTAGATGGTTTAAGTTAAAGACATTACAATGATGATAATCACTCAACAAATGATAGCAAATCC